TATTATTTCTTCTTTAGATGTTAAGTTATACTATAATATTTTATTATTTCTTCTTTTATCTTTTATCGAGTTTTTTCTTGGATTGATGCGTTTTAATTAAGTATATACGGAATTAATGCTGGGTTAAAACTATTTATCAATATATTGTTGGGATTAACCTGAGTTGGGTAAAGTCGAAAAACCGTTTGATTATTCAGCATATAGAATGTATATTGTAAATCATGGATTAATAAATAAGTCGTCAATAAGTCGACATCCCATTTGACAACAGGAATTCATCCAATATTTAAAAATCCCTCTTTTTTTTTTAAATTGTTGTAATTTTTATATTCATAATCTGATTTTCATAAAAGTTATATCAAAATTATAAATTTTTATTGTCTTTCATATGACAACAATATTCGATATATAAAAATTAAAATAATTTTGAAATTACAATGAGTAGATGTTTTTAGGCCACAAACTTTTATAAGTAGATCTATGTTCTAAAATTCAGATCTCATAATTTTTTAGAGCACATTTGATAACGTTGAGATTCACTGAATCGGCTACTTAGGTTGAAATTTGTGAAATTCTGATTGAAGTGGCTGGACTGGCTAATTGAAACTTCGCAGATCCCAACAGTATATTGGTAAATAGTTTTAACCCAACATTAATTCCGTAAATACTTAATTAAAACGCATTAATACAGAAACAAACTCTCTTTTATGAGAGTATGCTATACATTTTACGAGATTCGTTTGGGTAAAAGTAGGAACTGTACAACAATTTTTATTGTATATTTATTATTTCTTTGAATACTTTATGTGATGTTGTAAATGCTAATTAATCATAAACTTTACTTTTGTGAAAGGTGAATTTTTTTATTGATTGAGAAGATGCAAACTTTATATAAAGATTTTTTCATGTCATCCCTCACAGTAAGACAAATTAGGTATTACGAGTAATTTATAATATTTTTTAATTTTTTCTTCTCTTTTATTTCTCCTCACATCTTATTTTAAAAAAAAGGATGACACCCCATCCCTGAGGGCTCCCCAACCCCGACCGGATGGTACGTTGGGAGGATGTAAATTGGACTATAATCCCAATCTGACAAATAGAGAGTGAGGCTCTGTCCCCGGTACTTGCATAGGCACTATGCATTTTTAGCATAGTAACCCCTCATCGCAGTTGCTGGGATTCGAACCCGGGACCTAACCCTTGTGGCACTCCCCTTGCTACCAGTTGAGCTACGCCCACCGGTCACATCTTATTTAATGGTTGAGTAAGGTTGTATGCTCCTGGTGGTCAACCGACCCCCCTGAAAGTTTAAGACTATATAGCTCTGAAATACATTCGAATTGATATATTATGGCTCCTGTATCTCATTACGAGCAAAAAGTTATGACTTTTGGAAAATCAAAACTATCTAAATTTAAAATGAGTAAAATTTGATGTGTAATATTGATTATATTTCCAAATTTTAAAAGTAGCGTATAATTCACTCATTACGTGACATCACTCGGGGTCATTGCAAATGCATCTCATCTTAGTACTACGAGTCCCTACTCAATAACTGATTCTTTTTTATAAGAAATCTTGAAATTGAGCCGAATGAGAGGGAAAAACATGTATATCAAATCTATATCTCAGTTAGTCTCATTTAAACCATGGAGTATGATTTATCTAAGCTACATATGAAACATTCAACTCGGGTATTGTTTAAAAATGATTTTTTGCTTTCATTCTGTATATAATTGAGTTTCAATCCCCCGAAGCCATTTTTTCTTGCTCTATTACTGTATATTCATCTCTTTTTATATTACTCCTTTTATAATAACTTATGTTTTTTATCTTTATTTTTCTTCTTTTCCTTTTGATGGTGATATCATGTATCAATTAATGTTAGGTGACCCCAATATTTTTTGGGACTAACAATTCACAACTGAAAAATGACATTTCTACAACACTAGTGAGGTTGTTAAAAATTTTAGGAGATCGAAAATGAATGGAAACTGTAAACCCTATTCCAGGGGGTTTTATACATACGAATATAACCAAAACTCGGCAGATTTCATTGGGAAGAAGCCTCAGTTCTTCCTAAGGCGAGGGGCCAAAGCTGCTCAAGTGTTCGGAGAAATAGATTTGATTCCGAGGTACTTCGTAATACAGTTTTGAACATCCACGATCTCAGCTCTTTTCATTTCCACGCTTTCTTAAATTTATGTTGCTTGTAGAGCTTTCTTCAACTTTTCCAGAAATTGTAATGAACGTACATTGTATGAGGAAAGCGGTAGACCCAAAAAACATTTTCCGAAATCCGGTTAGTTAGTTGCCTGATATTCGATGATAATTCCTAGAATCTTCAAAAGAGTGTCCCCCAAAATGATTTCACACATTAACGACGCGATGATTCACCCTGCTATTTCTTATTTTTGTGAAAGAGGATGCTCTTCGTCTGTCTCATCCAGTCAAAAGGCGTTTAGGTTGAAGGGGATCAGATGCTTTCAAAGCTCTGAACAGTCTCATTATCGCAAAGTGACAACGGCTGAATCGACCAGCCAGAGACCAATTTCTCTTTATGCCATGAAAATGTCACGAGTAGCTAGAAGTGACGCACAAGCTGCATTCTTTGATTATTTGCATTACACCAGGGGATTCAATTTCCCAGATGCGGAGCATATTAGCAAGAACTCTCCTTTTTTCCTTGAGAAGTTGCTATCGAAGATTGAAAACGAGGAGGATGTGTCAAGGGCATTGTCAAGGTTCTTGAGGTATCATCCCATCAACGAGTTTGAGCCATTTTTTGAAAGCCTGGGTTTAAGCCCAGATGAGATTCCATTCCTACTTCCGCGGAACCTAATGTTCTTGAGTGACAACCGTGTATTGCTTGACAACCACCAGATTCTTTGTAGTTATGGTATTCCTCGAAGTAGCATCGGGAAGATGTATAAGGAAGCAACCGGGATTTTCGAGTACAATGATGGAGTGTTAGATATGAAATTAATGGCTTTTGAGAAGATGGGTTTGAGTCGATCCACAATTATACAGCTTGTGAGCTGCTCCCCTTCTCTTTTGGTTAGCGACATAAACAATGAACTTTTTCAGGTGATTGAGAAATTTAAACAAATGGGGTTTGTTAATGAGTGGGTCGGAGGTTTTTTGTCCAATGAGCAGGCATACGATTGGCGCAGAATACTTGGGACAACACTCTTTCTGAGTGAAATTGGTTATAATGAGACTCAAGTGGGTGATCTGCTTAAGGCAAATCCTGCATTGCTGTTTGAAGATTCTGGGAGATGCACTTGTGTGTTAGTTGTTCAATTAGTGAAGTTAGGACTTGAGATGGATGAAATCCGTTCTTTGCTTTCAGAATTTCCAAATATCCTATCTTTGAAGTATGCTAAGAGGCTTTGGAAGGCAATGAACTTTCTGTTTGAGATCGGAATGGAGACTGAACCCCTTGCAAGAATTGTATCTAACCATATACAGTTACTGAGTACCAATTCTCTCAAACAACCAAAGACTGTGTTGAAGCATTTCAAAGGTGACAGGCATCGTTTACGTCAAACTATTCTGGATGACCCTCTGAACCTGTTTAGATTAGCTTCAAAGTCACAAATTAAGAGCATTGACCAGCAGACAAGTCTCCGGAACCCCGCTGACAAAACAACATTCTTATTGATGTTAGGTTACGCGGAAAACTCAGATGAAATGACAAAAGCTTTGAAAATGTTTCGAGGCAGAGGAGACCAATTACAGGAGAGGTTTGACTGCCTGGTCGAGGCTGGTTTGGACTGCAATGCTGTGGTGTGCATGGTGAAGAAGGTTCCTACTTTGCTGAATCAGAGCAAAGATGTTCTTGAGCAGAAGCTGGAGAGTTTGAAAAATAGTTTAGGGTATCCCGTGGAGTCGATTTTGTCATTTCCGACTTACCTTTGCTATGATATGGACAGAATATGTCTTAGGTTTTCAATGTATGGATGGCTGAGGGAAAAGGGTGTGGCTAAGCCCATGTTGTCACTCAGCACTCTCCTTGCTTGTTCGGATAAGCGCTTCATAAAGTATTTTGTTAATGTGCATCCTGAAGGCCCGGTGATGTGGGAATCATTGAAAAAAATAAATCATGCGAACAACTGACATAAATTTAATTCCTTCTTACATTTTTTGGTGTACTGTTTGGTTGCTTGGTTTTGTCGAGTGTCATTGTTTTGCATTTACACTTACAGTTTTGGTACCTACTAGTGTACCCTACTACTTTGAATTTTATTTATTTATTTACTCCCTCCGTCCCTAATCTTTCTCCCTTTTCGGCTGGGCACATTTATTAAGATAGTGGGATTTATGTGGTGGGGAGTTGTGCAGAGAAGAGAGAAATGTGTAAGAATGTGTAAGAATGGTTGTGAACCACAAATTTTTTGCTAAAGGGGGGAAGAGGAGATAATTTTGGGACGGACGAAAAAGGAAAGTTTGAAGATAATTTAGGGACGGAGGGAGTATTTGTAAATAGATAAGCGACAACAAAATAGTTATTTGCCATGTACGGTTCTTTGGCATGTTGAACCGTCAAAGAGAATAACTTGCATTCCTTTTGTCCCATATCATAGTTCAATAGTTATCTTTTTCAACAATTCTTGGTGTACACCTTGACCTTGGGTTACACCCTCTTTATTTGCCATGCACACGGACAACAAAATGTACAAATGTCGGTGTACATAGACATTAGTTGTGTGTGTAGGCAAAAAATGTCTGTACATATACAATTTTGTCTGTGTACATATATTTTTTTGTCTATGATGAAAATTTATAAAATGTTACTAATTTTTTTTCATTTCATCTTTCATTACAAACAATATTTATCCTTATTTAGCACCATACAAAAAAAATTCAGGCGGCTCTAATACTCTGGTGAGTTTCTGGCAAATTTTCCGGTGAAAATGGTGATGGAAGATGATGATGAAGATGATGGTGAATAAAACGTAAAAAAAAAAGAAGGAAAAGAAAAAGAAGAAGATGGTGATGAAGAAGGAGAAAGGAAGAAAGAAGAAAGAACAAGATGATGAAGAAGGAGAAAGAAAGAAGAGAAGGGGGTCGTGTGATGCAAAGGGGAGACAAGAAAATGGGGAGGGAGGGGAGAGAAAAAAGTGAGGAAGGAGGAAATATATAGGGTGTACCCAGGGTGTAGATGGATGAATGAGTGCTAGCTTGGCCGGAGAATTTTTAGGATTAATAGGTATCATAGTTCCATCAAATGTCGATGATGATGATGATGATTTTTTTTGTGGAAAGTGAAATTACATTTTAGGATTTTAAGCTTAGGTCGGAAAATTTTCTCAGGAGAAGCGTACAACTCGTTTTTTCGTGGAAAGTGAAATTACATTTTAGGATTTTAGGCTTAGACGGGAGAATTTTCTCTCTCCAGTGTAGTGCTTTTAGGTAAGGGTGTGCACTGGTCCAAAACCGGACCGGACCGAAACCGGTTAGGACTGGAACCGGTTAGGACCGGAACCAGAATCATCATTTTCTCTCTCCAGAGTAGTGCTTCTAGGTATAGAATGCTTAGGCAGAGAATGCTTAGACGGGATCACTCTCTCAAGTGTAGTGCTTTTAGATATAGGATAAAATTACATTTTAGAATTTTAGGCTTAGGAATGAGAATTTTCTCTCTCCAGTGTAGTGCTTTTAGGTATATGATTTTTTTTTTGCGAAAACTGAAATTACATTTTAGGATTTTAGGCGGAGAATGTTTAGGCGAGAGAATTTTCTCTCCAGTGTAGTGCTTTTAGGTATAATATATATATTTTTTTTTTGCGGAAATTGAAATAACATTTTAAGATTTAGGCAGAGAATGCTTAGATGGAAGATTTTTCTCTCTTCAGTGTAGTGCTTTTAGGTATAGGAGGATGATGACTTTTTTTGGGGAAAGTGAAATTACATTTTAGGATTTTAGGCGGAGAACGCTTATGCGGGAGAATTTTCTCTCTTCAGTGTAGTGTTTTTAGGTATATGATGATGATGATGATGATTTTTTTGTGGAAAGTGAAATTACATTTTGGGATTTTAGGCTTAGGCGGGAGAATTTTCTCATGAGAGGCGTACAACTCGTATTTTTTTCGTGGAAAATGAAATTACATTTTAGGATTAAGCGTATGTAGATGTAATGTTATTCGATCAATTAGGCGGTGACTAACTCCCACGGATTAAGAGTGTTTCACACGTTTACAAGGAGCCGTAGGGATTTTTTTTGGAGCTGTAGGGAGTAGTACTACATATATAATGCTTGAAGGCCACGTTGTCTAGTAACCATGTTGTTTTGACTTTTGACCGAGTTTGCGATGCTTTGGTCTTATATCCATGCGATAAATTATTTTAAACTCTTCGTGATGATAAATTTACACAAGGATGATAATATGTATTGTACTCATTATGAATTTTGGTGAGGTATAACTTAATTTTTTGGGAATTATGATTTTGATTTGTGTTGGTGAGATTCCTATCTTGTAAAGAAGAATTATTTTGGTAAAAAATAGCTTTGTAAATTTATGTAGTGCACGTACACTAAGTCACTAATATACACAAACAATTACACACTGTTTCACAGACACTTAGATACATGCACAAACACGAATGAGCAATAGTAATACAAGCAAAAATGTATCAACTTTTATGTGTACAAGAACAAATGTGAAGCTAATAGATAACTTTTATGAAGTCCACAACCAAGTTTTATTAAGCACACAAACAAGTAATATGAAAGCTCACAGACAATAAAATGACTCACAGACATTAATATCAAAGTCACAGACAACTCATATAAAGCTCACATACAAGAATTTGAAAGTCATGACTCATGAGCAACTAATATGAAGCTCATAGACAACAATATTAGTTACAAACAACTACATGAAGCTCACAGACAACTCATATGAAGCTCACGGACAACTCTAACTCCAACTCCACCCATGTTGGCAAACTAACACTTACAAATTAAATGGATTCACCAATCTCCCACTTTTGTATATAACTCACACAACAAAAGTACATACACTTCGCTAATCTTACATAACAATATATGAGGTGTTTGGAACTGATTCTGTTTCTGTTTCTGCTTCTTTTTTAAAGCAGAAGCAGAATCAGTTTTCAAAAGTTGGTCACCCCCAACTTCTAAAAAACTGATTCTATTAGTAATTAAAGCACCAGAATCACTTCTGCACTTTCACCCAAACACTCCAACTTCCGTTTCTGCTCCCTGAAGGAGCAAAAACAGTTTTAAGAACGAGATCCAAACGCCCCCATAACAACTCATAGACAACTACAATTGAAACCATATTGGCACACAGACACTTACAAAGTAAACATTGTCCGTGTACACCAACAAAAACACTTCAAAATATATACAAACAAATACCCACAATTCCATGTCATACACAACAATATGAACTACACAAACACACCAAATAGCTTCAACAAACTGTCACTTTTGTATACAGCTCACACACGAAATTCACAGACATTTCGCTAATCTTACATAACAACTCATAGACAACTCGAACACAAACACTGCAATTCGAACACACACAACCAATTATTGTTTCATACTTCCATTTTTTTACTTTTAATACATAAAACAGGCCAAGCTTTCACTATCCAACCCGTCGTCAATCCAACTCCTTTTTGTTTCGCACCTCCGTCTGTAGGCCATCGTCCGCCGCTATTTCGTCTTCTTCCAAACCTTCGATCGCAGCTTCTTCTCCTTCATACCTTGCAAGTCTGTATTGGTTCGCAGCTTCAATATCATCCAGAAATCTGTCTGGGTTCGCACTTCCATATCCGTCGGCAAGCCCTCCGAAGCTACGCTTTTGGTCAGAAATCCGTCTGGGTTTGCACTTCATATCCTCCGATTAATCCACTGAGGAACAAATAGGGGATAGAATATTCTCTACTGAAATTTCAAAAAAGAAAGAAAACAGGGTGCGGGGATGGGGAGAAGAGAGATGAACGAAAAGCGGGGTTTTAGAAAATCTGGCGGATTTCTCAGAGTATCGTGTGATCACTTTCCGAATCTAATATTTCGACCCTATGCCTGGTTTACACGAAATTTAGATTATGGGGATAATCACTCTAAGAGTCAGTCTAAAACTGAGGCACCAATATATAGACCACGAACTAGCAGTTTTAGTAGAACTCGAATTCTTCTGATTACCAAAGAGATAAGGTCAATCAGTTAGAGTTTTACTCTAACAGAAAGTCATTCTATTAAATAATTAATATGGACATGTTTATCCGAAAATAAATTTCCATATTTATTTCTTTAATAAAATAAAATTTTGGTCAGCGAGACCCCCGCAAGGGCGGCCTCCCTCGACCCCGCTCGCTGACCGGGCAGCGAGACCCCCGCAAGGGGCGCTGCCCCTTGGACCCCGCAAGGGGGCGCAGCCCCCTTGACCCCCGCCATTTAATTGAACCAAGTTTAAATTTAATTTCGTACAAGTGTGCGCTCCGCACCTCCTAACTTGTCTAAAATTAAACTTGAACTCCATTGGTAATCTGTAAATTCCATTACACTAAAATGAACCTGGTGATACTAAAATCACCAACAATCCTCCCCCATTTTAGTGTAACCATGAATCTACATAAACAAGAATAAGAGACAACCAAACTTATGCATACATGAAAATATCGAAACGATTGAATTTTCATATTAGTACATTACACATTCCAAATACTCGAGAATCAGGGTGTTCTAAGAATTGAACCCTTCAACCCATTTGAATACATGAAGATAACATACACATAAGTTCAAATAAACAACTAGTTCAAATGCACATTTCAGTATCATCTAATGCATATTTCAGTTTATCAAATGCACATTTCTGTTCCACATAATACAATCCAACGGTCCAGATTCGTTCTTATTTCTCTCCTGGGAGTCCGTTCTTACCGGAACTGCTCCCTATATATATATATATATATATATATATATATATATATATATATATATAGAGAGAGAGAGAGAGAGAGAGAGAGAGAGAGATAGAGAGAGGAGTATTCATGTGCGTTCGGCCGCACCACAGGGGCCGTCCGGCAGACGGCTTTTGGTCGCCTTCCCGGTGGAATTTTTTGATGAAAGTTTTATGGCATGTTTTTCATCAAGTCTAGTTTATGTACAAAAAAAATCAGCTAAAAACTCAATCCGGAAGGTCATCAAATGATTTTTTGAAGTTGACTGCGTTTTGTGTGTGTAATTTTGCACAGTTAACTTCAAAAATTAATTTGAAGACCTTCCGTATTGAGTTTTTAGCTGAATTTTTGTGTGGATAAACTAGACTTGATGAAGAACATTCCATAATAAAAATTTCATCAACAAATTCCATCGAAAAGATGGCCAAACGCTAGAACGGACGACGCTTCTCCTGCGCACGGACGCACCAGAATAGCCTTCTATATATATATATATATATATATATATAGTGTACACCAAGCAAAATTCCAATATGATGCAACTTCATTGAATTATCCTTCTCAAGAACTCTTGCCCCACCTTTGAAAGAGTCACATGAATAACATTTAAAGTTTGCATTCTTAATTTTTTGATAACATCGGTAGGGGTGGACTCGGGCCGGGCCAACCGGCCCGGAACCGGACCGGCCCGCCACTGTGCGGGCCCGGACCGGCCCGGGAACCGGTTCGTTGAGCGGTTCGGGACACCCGGCCCGGTGGATTCTCGGTTCGGGCTCGGGCCCTTCAAAAGGTGAACCGGCCCGGCCGGTTCGGGCCCGGGCCGGGCCAATTTTAATTTTTTTTTTTGAATTTTTTTTGAGTTTTTGGGTTGGGCTGGTTATTTTGGGCCATTTGAGGTGGTTAGGGTTGGTTTGGGGGTGAGGGGGAGGGGTGGGGGTTAACTAGGAAAAGCCCCAAAAAAAAAAAATACCCGAGGCCCGGCCCGGCCCGGACCCGGGGTTTACCCGGGCCGGTTCCGGGCCTCCCCTTCTTGAACCGAGGCCCGGCCGGGCCCAGGCCCGAACCGGGCCCGAACCGGCCCGAGTCCACTCCTAAACATCGGGTGAACTCATTTTTGCTACGCCAATCCTTCAATTTCTAATAATATTTTTTTTACTTTTGATCCACAAATTCGATACAATATTTCCATTTGTTTGACACTTGGTTTCAATCTACTATGAGCATTGAAAATGCTCTTAGTGTACCTCATTTGTTCTAAAAAATCTCTAAAAAGGGAAAATTGCAAGTGTCGACTTCATTTATTAGATCGGTACCTCTAAGCAACTAAGGGGATGTTTACTTTTTTTAACTATTAAGTTCTGTCTGGATTAAGATGTCTGTCTATATTAATACGTCTGTCTGGATTAAGTGACACTGGAATAACAAACTATTTACTATGTGTGCTGAATGTGTAGTCTGAATTACATTAAAGGATCAATTTACCCTTTTGTCTAGAACAGTGCTGAACATATATAAAATAATTACTTTTTCTATTCTAATCCAATTGCACCAAATTTATTATAATATCAATTTATTTAGCAAACAAGTTCAGAAAACACAAACAATATAAATTCAAGAGCATTACAAATTAGCAATTTCATTTAAGCATTTCCTACTAATCTATTAGCAATTTCATTTTGTAAATGCGTCATATATTGTATGTTCTGTGTGGCCCATTGTGTTCCATTTATTTCTTCTCAACTGCCTTCATCTTCTACCTCTCATTCTTCATTGTTGAATATCGTTGTCTCATCATTCCATTCCTGTATAGCTCATCTTGAATGTTATTTTTTCTTATAAATATATGAACAAAAGCAAACAATCACCGCATTTCTTTACATAAAAAATAGATAAGGGTACATATTAACTACTTAAAAAAATTGGATAAGTAACATGCTAGAAGTGCAGAAATAATATGCCTAGATGCATCCCAAATCGCCGAATTTATCTACAATAGGATGCCAATCAAATGGAGAAAACAGAACTACTAAAACTGAATCTTTTTATTTATGTTACATGAGCATGAAAGATAACAAATCTGATCCAGAGATTGATCCTCTACAGTGCTATTGAAAATATTTATCAATACAATCAACACCTCAAAATACTATATATATATAGTATATACGATAGTATATACTATATACATATAGTGTATATATATATATAGTATATATATACACTAGCGTGAGCGCGCGCGTTGCGCGACGGTTGATGCCCAATCTTAGGAAAAAACGAAAAAGTTGCATTGTATAAGCAAGATGTGCAAATGCAAATACATCACAAAAGCAAAGTGACATAAAACAGGCCAGTGTTGTCTATTATATCAATGTAGGCAATTAAAATTTCAGTTTGAATGTTTGGTTCAGAAAGATCAAACAAAACATCACATAGAGATGAGATAAAGCGATAACAAAACACCCAGATAAACTTCATAGGGGAAGTTTTGGCCGTGCAAACGTGTTTCTGGCTTGACATCCACAACCAAGGCTTCGGCTGCGATACTGTAAGACACCTGTAAATGGCAGGGAAAATGAAACATATAAATATATCAAGTTAATGAAGGCAATCAGTAAACTGAAAAGTAACAAACACACAACTGTTAACAAGTCACCTCTAATTACCGAAAGGCAATATTTCGTAATAAACAAAATTGGATGTACTATTCATCCCAAGTATTACTTGTCCATGTAGTCACCAAGTACTATTCATTTTTAACAAATTAAGATGAAAATCATGAAAATAAGTATGAAAACAAATAAAGCATCTCAAATTAAAACCTTAAACAAAGCATCCAAAGGTGATATGAAAACGTAAGATGAAGGGGGCCTTAAACCTCCCTTGTATAGAGACGAAGATGCCCCAATGCATAGTTTCTCAATCATAATGTTTAACTTTGAGCATGCTTTACTTTACTTTTTCTGCATCCGTGTATAAATAGAAGAACACAAATCATATGACCTTGTGACTTTAGCACGCATTAACTATGGTCTTTTACGGTTAAATCTTAGCCTCCTGCCAATAATTCGTCCCATATCACTGCCAACACTTCAACATGCAATCAAGTAAACCCAAGGTTGTCAAAAGCGCTCGCCCCAGCGCTTAAGCGCACAAGGCGCAACGACCAACACCCCCAGCGCCTGAGAATAGGAGAAGCGCGCATACCAGGGTCAGGCGCAACCTAAGCGCAGGAGGCTCATGAAGCGCTGAAGCGCACGCCTGGGACGGAAAAGGCTGATGGCCTTTTTTTCTTTAAAACTTTCATAACCATTTAGCCCATATCTTTAATAACACTCAACCCATGAAGATAATAGGGTAAAACCAGTAAAACCTACGTAAAATTAAGAGTCTAAGTATGTAAATAACGTAAAACTTGCGCAAAACACTACAGCTATCATCGCTAGCCATTCTCGCTCTCCTCACTCGACACTCAAGCTGCTATACACCAGTCTGTTCTTTCAGCTTTCATCACCATCTCAAGCAAACTCAGTTCTCCCTCACAACACTAAACAATGTATGTGTTTTTTTTTCATGCAGTCCTCTTCATCCAAATACTCATACTACACTAGTGTCTAAATATTAGTGTATATGTGTAATAAAGTAATAATACTATGTATTGGTATATTAGTATGTATATAATACTCATAGTACATAAATATACGTACTCTGCTTTGTGGTTTTCTAAAGATATTACTCTTAATCTTTCTGGTTTTCTAAAGATATATACTCAATTCTGTGTTTTTTAACTTTTTCCAACAATAATCTGTATATAAACAAAGATATTAATGAAGATATTACTCTGCCATAGGTCAGTGCATATCCAACTTTGATAAACACACAAGTACACAACCAGCTTTGATAAACGCACAACCAGCTTCTAAAGATACTACTCTCTTTGACCCAACCAAAGTAAAACATGGCTGTTAACAAAGGGCTGAGTAAAACATGTTTATCAAAGTGGATATCCACCTTTTACAACACAAAACATGACAAACACAAATTTTAAAACTAAAAGAACATGATAAACACACAACCAGGTTTGTGTTTTTCATTATTGAGCAGCCATGTTCGAGTGTTTGACCCACAAATATATTACATATGTACTCAGCTTTGTGGTTTTCCAAATCTGTTTTCTAGTGTATTAAATAATTCCAGCTTTGTGCTTTTCCAGGATATGGAAGGTGGAACAAGGGTTGTCAGTGGTGCTTTGTGCTTTTTATGCATTTGGTTCAATACGCTGTTACATACATCATATTTGGTAATTATAGAATAGTATATGTGATATTATCTAAGTAATGCGCTTCACCCGAGTCAGGCGAGCGCTTTATTGCGCCTTGCGTCTCAGGCGCTGAGAGGCCACTAGCGCTTCAAGTGCGCCTTTCGACTTTGACTACCTTGAGTAAACCATAAAAATAAAAATAAAATCTCAAGAGATCATCTTACTTTCTTTTATATCCTACCATGAAGCTGAATCTGGAAGACTCCGGACAACAGTTACTTGAATCAAATACGATTTATTAAAGCATTTATACTGTGAATTATCACATGAAGGAAAATTTCATCACAAATTCTTCAATTTTCTTATTTAGAGAGGCATATAGTAGTACCCCGATAATCAGAACGGAGAGGTGCCATATCAATGATCACTTCAAGATGAGATGCTTCCTCCACCAAGCTCAACCTAGAAAATAATCAAAAAACAGTTTGTTTTGAGATGCCTTATTTATTTCCTTAATATAGCATTAAGGCTCACTTCGTATTGTGACGATGCACATTAATTCTTTATATATTAGAGTGCATATAGTTCTTAGCTTCTTGGGTATTTTGTTAGGTTACAGACCTAATCACCTTGATTCAAGATACTAGCGATGAAGAGAAGATATGTGCGTAACAATAGAAAGCTTTGTATAACAGAAAATAGAAAGAGAAAATACAAGATAGTTCCAAGTCCCAAGTCCCAAGCCCAAAGGATAATTCCAGCCTCCTCTCTATTCTACCCTCCACCTCTATTTATACTAATTCTAATACTCTTCTGATTTCTTATTATTCTATGTAGGTCCCTAACACTACTCCCCCTTTGACAACCACCTTGTCCTCAAGGTGGGTCATAGGAGACAGTCCTGACGAACCGCTTCTTTCTCATCTTTGCGCCTCGTCCTTCCCAATATCTTCCAAATTTCAGGACCCTGAACTTCATGAACTGAACCATTTCCATCACTTTTACCATAGTGAGAAGCTGAGGCAAGGGCATATTTTCATAATGCTTCACTACAACCTTGCCAGCACCAAGTGCTACAACCCCTACAGAACCATTCTCATCGGGCAGTTCCTCAATAATAGCAGAAAAAACTGGCTGCCACTCCTCCTGGAATTGGATACCTACAGATCTAGGTACTTCATAGAGGTTTTCTGCACCACACTCTTGAGAAGTCATCATGGCTCGGACATTCCATTTTCCTTCAGTATCAAGAATGATGAAATCATATCCAGTAGCTTCATCCTTTGCCATCAAACTGCAGCCCTTAACTGCCATCCCAGATTTGATGTTGGAGTGAGTAAAGACTGATCCTTCAAATGCACAAATCTGTGGATCATTCTTTCCCAATTGCCTTGCTAAAGTACCCTGGAATATTACCACATCTTTACCCGCAATCATTTGGTCCTGGCTGTCAGCATCAGCAACAGAATTCTCCATCCATCTCCTAAAATTAATTGTGTTCATCACACTGTCATCTTCCCAGTCCTTATCTCTTTTCCTGAGTATTTTGAGCGTTGGACCAGTACTTGTCATGTGAAACCTGTAATCAAAACCTACACTTCTATCTTGAACAGGTATACAATATACTGGTATTTCCCTAAAACTTTCACCCATGAATAAGGCATCAGGTACTAGACCAGGAATAAGACCATTGTCAATCCTTACAAACATTTCAGCATTATCATTAGTACCATAATCAACCTTTTCCCTCCAATTCTCAATAATTCCTATCCCCAGCTCATTCTGTACATACATCTCAGAAATATCACCATTAAATCTGAAGTCATCAAATTTATTCGGTTCGTCCAAAATTTTCTTTACCAATTGATGGTGCACAACATTCATTAGAATATCCAGTCCAGGTTCAAGACTTATATCAATCCAAGATTTGAATTCCTCTGGATTACAGCCTAGTATACCAGCATACCTCCTAGTATCATCGTTAATCATTACCCGGGCAACATCAGTGGGCGCTGAACTATTTATTCCTTGATGGTAAAGAATGTCAACTTCGCTATTTTCCGAAACTGTCGGTGCCGTTTGCTGCAACTCAGTATTAATTTCCGGAATTATAGTCCCTGTAAATCCTTTTCCTGATGTGATTATAGTTTCTGAAACGGATGATTCATGTAGGCATGTTGACACTAGCGCACTGGGACAAGTGACTTGCGATGACATCTGCGAATCAAGAAACAAGTCTTGCGCAGGGTGAGAATTAACTTGCGATGACCATTGGTTATGATTGTTTAACCTCGGCGAACTGGAAGCAACTGTTATCGCCTGACACGAAACTTGCGAACTCAGAGAATCAAGTAGCGACGAGCTCTGTGAACGTATTGAAGTCTGCGAAAATTGAAGAGCGGTTTGCGATGATGGTAATACCTTGCTTGCAGAATTATGACCTAGACGAACTGTCCTCGATCGACCTCGCCTGCGACGTTGTTTACGCAGATCGGTGCGTAACTGGTCCAACCAGATTCTTCGCTCTTTCTCCCAGTCACTTTCCACCTTTTCCGCAAGCTTCTCTACTTTTTCGCGCTCAACCTTTTCCCCGAGCTTCTTTTTTTTTCTGCGCTCAACCTTTTCCGTGAACTTCTCCAATTTTCTGCGCGGTTCCTTTCCGCCTTGTGTAGAGAGGCGCTTTTCCCTGTTCTCACGCAAACCAAAGGCGTTCTCCTTCTTTCTCCATATTTGTGTCTCCTCTCTGGTTCGCATTCCCAGCTTTCCCAACTACGTTCCCACATCTCATAATCAATTTCCTCCAAATTCAATATCCAATCTTTACTTTTTACTCTTTTGAGGGCCATGATCAGGTGTACGAACAATGCTCTGATACCAATGTTAGGTTACAGACCTAATCACCTTGATTCAAGATACTAGCGATGAAGAGAAGATATGTGCGTAACAATAGAAAGCTTTGTATAACAGAAAATAGAAAGAGAAAATACAAGATAGTTCCAAGTCCCAAGTCCCAAGCCCAAAGGATAATTCCAGCCTCCTCTCTATTCTACCCTCCACCTCTATTTATACTAATTCTAATACTCTTCTGATTTCTTATTATTCTATGTAGGTCCCTAACATATTTCAGCTTCAGCAAGAGCCGGGTTTCAACTGGGGCATCAGAGGCATCAAAGTTAGTTGTAACAACTGTTTGGGCTGCAATATCACATGTTATAAAACCAGGATAAATGGGGGAAGGTGCATGGTCAAAACCAGCACATTCAACAGTACTGGTTCTAAAACCAGAATCAACGGAGATAGATTTTTCAGCATTTACAACATCGCAACCAGCACAATCAAAAGGGGCATCAGTTGCATCAAACATAGAGGGGGCATTAAAAGTAAATAAAACACCAGCCTGGGCAAAAAAGAAATGGATCAGTCATCAATCTGAACAACTCTTGGTGACACCACCAGTCCACAAAGAGGAGAAAACAGGAAAATAAACCGAGAATCTGAAGAACAAGATAAAATGTTTGCTTGAACTATATAGATATTTGTTAAAGTAATGGTGAGCTAATTACACTCTTTTGTGTTGTGTCAGTTCCATATTATAAAATACTGACTCATCCTAAAAAGGACAAACTAAGAATACAAATTGAATGCAATCGTTTAGTTTTTTTGAAATTAACAATCGGATGGAGTTTAAGAGGCCATTTAGTAAAAGTTTGTAATCTGCTTAAATGACTGAAGTTATTTACTTTTATAAAAGGAGAATGGAACAACAACAACAACATCCAAGACTTAATCCCAAAAGTTATTTATTGTTATAAAAGGAGAATATTTGATGAAAATAATTTCAACCAAATACAGTAGCCAAAAAAATCTTGTCATGGTAATGAACATAATAAACTTAGTGGGTATAGGAAAATGACTTCAAATATGAAAATATAGTATGGAGTATTAATGAAAGAGTGTGAAGCGCCTTTTTTTGGAAATGACTCATTTTTGGAGTTGTTATTCGTTTTGTAGTGCATAATGAAAAAATGTGCCATATTAAGCTTCAACCCCACCTAATATTCCCAATGCATTAGATGCTATTTCCCATAACTAAGAAAACAAAAAGGACAATCTGTAAATGATTAATGTCACTCCACATAAAAACATTGAAAAATAATAAAAACCAACTAAGAAAACAAAAAAAGAATAGTCTTTAAAAGATTACCTCGGGCAATGTCTCTAGTGTTGTAAATCCATGAACACAACCTGTGAGCACATACAACAAACCAGATGAATTCATTATTTACCCAAAACTTTTCAAGATAAATCAACCCATAAAAGAATCTCTAAAAACATTGGAAAAACAAATGAAATTACAAAAAAGAGTTGCAAGTGGAAATCGAAATGTGCAACACAAAAGATAAGGCATAGTGCTATTATGTGAAGCTGAATTGTGCATTACGGGAAACTGAAATGTTGACTAGGTGAAAATGAAATGTGCAGAATAAAAACTACGATATGGTGTCATTTTTGTGCCTTTTATTCTGCACATTTTAATTTTACCTAACGCACATTTGAGTTTTACTTTTCATTCTGCACATTTCAATATCACTTAATGCACATTTCAGTTTTACTGAATGTACACTTCAATTTCACATAATACAATGCAACATTGGAGTCCTTTCTCACCGGAACCAGTATGAAAGTGGGATTATCCTGCTATGGCCGGCTAATTATGGACTAACCAGTACGTTGCATGTTTTCCATCTTTGAAGTTTTTGTTTTTGTTTTTTACCACTTTCTATGATTAAACATGTTTGGTAAGTCAGTTTTGTGTATGTGATTCATTAAGAATTTTTTTAAGATGTAAAAGTATTATAAATGGTGTAGAGGACCTGGTTTTGAAAACTGTGAAAACAAAGAAATAGTTGTCAATATCTTTCAAACTTATGTACATAGTGTGTTATTTAAAAAATGAAAACCATAACTCACCACATAAACAAGCTGCAGCTCTCAAGCATTATAAATCATCCCACCCGAAGGCTAAAACATACCAACCCTATCAATAAAGTGACGATAAAGTTCCACAATAAATTCAACAAAAATATCTCATCTACGGTTGAAATCCCTACAAGAAGTTCCAATTGCTAATGTATCTCTACTTTCTATGAATCTTTTCATTTTATCCCTTGTATCTTTAAATTCCTTGTATCATTAAATTATTATCAATAAAATTGGGACGTGTTCCCCGACACTTCCCCCACCTCAGGTGGTTTGCTCCGGGACAAAAAAAAAAGCATTAACAATAGATAGATTTTTCTTGCCGATTCACTTTTTTAAAAAAAATGTAACTAATATATTTAATAATAAAATCATGTTCACAAGAAGATAACAATGCAATTGAGAGTTTTGGTGAGTTTAAGAAATGAAATCAAGCAAACTGAGAATTCAGGAACATAGAGAGCATTATATAAAGTAAGATCACCAATCTTAATGGTTCCAGAATGTTTAGCCATTACAAAGTGGTTGTTAGGTAGTTTGACTGAAACAGGTGTAATGGAAACAAGAGAAAGAAAATATGATTTGTTTGGACAGATGTGATCAGTAGCACCACTATCTAAAATCCAAGAAGAAATTATTGTATCGATACCTGGAGTATTCACAAGGCAATTGTGAACACTATTAACAGAAGAAGATGGATTTGGAGATTGTTGGAGCAAGGCCAGAAGAGCATGATACTGATCCTTTGAGAAACTGAATGTGTTCTGAAGTTTATTTTCCTCCTGAGTTGAATTTGCTGGAGCAAATGAGGTTACAATGTCAGTGGTATTCACAGAAGGCTGGTTTTGTCTAGATGTGTTATTGCCATTGTTTTTGTAAGCTGGTGGATATCCATGGATTAAGAAACTAGTGTCTATGGTGTGATTGGTTCGATGACATTTAGTGCAGAATTTGTTGTTTCTGCCATTGTTTGTGGATCTACCAGAAAGGCCATCACGAGAACTAGAAGAACCACCACGGTTGTTGGAGAAACCACCACGAGAATTGGAATTATTCTGAGTTGTATTAGCATTAAAAACGATATTAGCTGCAATTTCTTGAGAGGTATCAGAAGCATGTCCCCCTCCAAATTCTCGTTCTTGTTGAGTTACAAGAGAAAATGCACGACTCAGAGCTGGTGATGGTTCCATGAGCATCACCTGAGATCTGACTTGAGCAAATTGATCATTAAGACCTCAAGAGAATTTTATGATGCAATCATCATCCCTTTCCTTTTGAATCTTTAGAAGAATTCCACAATTACATTTGACAGTGCAACAACAGGCAAGAACAACTCGATACGTTGATAATTCTTTCCATAGAATGCGTAATCGAGTAAAGTACTGGCTACTGAGAGACTGTGAGATCACCTTGAAGACAATTTTGTAATTCTTCCTGAAGATCGGCGATTCGGAATTTATCTCCGTGAGAGAAACGATCACATAGGTCACTCCAAATTTCAGAAGCAGAATCAATCCATATCACTGATTGACGTATAGAAAGCGTCATTGAACGAGCTAACCATGACATCACCATTTTGTTGCAGCGACACCAAGCTTCATACAGAGAATCCAAAGGTTCTGGACATGGTAAGGTTCCAAGAACGAATTGGTCCTTGTTTTTGGTTTCTAATGCCACAAGCATATCATGCTTCCATTGCTGAAAGTTGTTGTCATCGAGCAACGGTGTGACAAGAATTAGGGCAGGATTTTCTCCAGGATGTAAGAATAAAGGATTTGTCAGATTGATTAGGTGATCTGAGAGTTGATTTGGATGTGAATTCTGACAGAAATCGCCCATGGTTGATTGAAGAGATGAAGAAAATCTCAGAAAAGTAAGGAACGATGTAGCAGCGAAGAGTTGTTTAGTCTCTCCGATACCATATTAACGATTGAAGAAAATGAAAATCATATGCAAAGATTAATTCTCATTATGAATTGTGTTACATCTTACAGCAATGATGATTTACTATTTATAGAGAGCCAATCTAACTAACTAATATCCAACAACCCAACTAGCTAACAAACGAAGGTTATTTTTACAACCCCACTTACAAAAAATATACTCTCCGTCCCTATATAAAAGTATACATTCGTTTTCCACATATTTTAAGAAAGTGAGTTTGGTTGATACTGTTTGGCACTGTTTGGACACTGTTTGGTAATATTTAGCACTGTTTTGCACTGTTTTTTGCCAAAAAAGGAAAGGGAACTTTTATTTAGAGACGGCCCGAGAAGGAAACAGATGCTTTTATATAGGGACGGAGGGAGTAAAAGGTAAATATATTTAAAGCAAACAGATGTTTAAAGTTCAAATTAGATCAAATCCTTTGACGAAAAGAACAAGTCCTGGGTAAAGTAAAATAGCCCATGTCATTAGTAGGTTGAACCAACATATACACATATAAGTGAACACCTTTTGCTACCAAAAGCTGAAATCATATACAATATGAAACTGCGTATTTGCATGAAACCTGAGATGATCTGGCCACCTTTTGAACAATGGCATTATATGGCCGAATTAAAGAAATAAATGGATAATCATCAAAATAATATCTTGTTCTTACAAAGCCTTAATTTATTGTGATATGCCTTAAAACGGCGTTGTAGTACTCCTCTAAATACTAGTAACTTTTATATACAAAAAAAGTACAGAATCATACATACACATGCACACACCAATGAGAGAAAGAAATTTGATTCAAAGATCATGTTAAGAACAAAACAGCAACAAAAACTGAGTACACGGAACTAAACAGCCTGAGCATTTTTCAAACGAGCTAGCTGCTAAGTAAAATTCGTCTTTACAATCAAGTTGTTACATTTCTTGACTCTTTTCTTGACTCTTTTAGAAACCATCAACGTAAATCCCTCCTCCTCAGAGGATTTATTGCTCTAGAAACCTCTGATGAGCATTCATTTAATGTGTTTTTTTTGTAATGTTTGATTGATGTTCAAAAGAGATGCTTGAATTTCAGCTTTTAGATCTGCCATTTGACATCAGCGTGGACTTCAGATTTTCATAAACTTATGACCTATGGTATCTTTGGAAGAAGTGCAAGATGAAGAGGGAGATCATATAGAACATCGACTTTCGGCCATGTCTTTGTTGAATGCCCTCTGGACATCATCTTTGAGCTCCTTGAATCGCTTCCTCTTATGTTTTTGCTCCTCGGAAGTACCTTTCTCGAGATAGAATAGATCTGGTAAATCATCCTCCATGAGCTTATCTAGAACTTGTGAGCAATTGGGGAAGTAGCGTTGTCCCAGCTCCACTGCCACCCATTAACAATGTCAGTTTAGTAACTAATATCAATATTTTGGGGATGTATTTAATTTGGCAATTTAGACGAGCTTCTTTTAAAATATGGGTAATTTAGTTCAAATAAGGGATCCAATGAATGGACAGTGACAATTAAGATTAACATTTTTATGAATTAAAAATGAGAATACTCCCTCCGTCCCATAAAACTTACCCAACTTTGACTTGCACATAGAATAATGAAGTAAAAATTGTGAGGAAAGAGAAATAATATGAATTACAAATTTGTTACTTCACAAGGATATGCCAAATCTTTTTTGGACAACTAAATAAGGAAGTTGGCAAAGTTTAGTGGGACGGAGGGAGTATGAGACTCATTGGTATGTTTTGGCCTCTCAGGAAGTGGCTCATGTGTACTTTTCCCTGTAGTCTCTTTAGGGAAGAAGATGAGTGACTAACTAACTAATATGATTGATACACTACCCCTTTTCATGTACAGCATGAAATTGCACCTATGGAAAGTGGGAAATCTAAACAAGTCAATGAAATTAATAGTCTTATTAGAATCTTAAAAGGAGAAGAATACCTGTTTTCGAGAGAGATTCCATTCTAGCAAAGAGTCTTTTCTTTTGCATTATTGGTGTCTCATTCAAATCAACCTCCCTAAAGCTTCCAAACTCAGCTTTTGCCTCTGCATTTGCGATTTCCATGGCTAGTTTAGCTTCAAGGGGGAATAGTAGTCGAGCAAATGCCACTGCAATGGTTGAATCGTTTAGCTTCATTAAACCTTATTGATTCTTAAGTATTTAGGAGTTGTTTTCTTGGTTTGATCTCACCGGTTCTGATATTTTTTTAGGATGTGTTCCAATTTGAATCTTTCTAATTTGAATCTTTTTTATCTGGTTTTATCAGATTGTTGATGGTCAGGTCAAAATCATTCTTATCTAATTTGAATTATAAGAAACTCTCTGATGGATCCATGTTGGCTTTTGACCAATTCATAAAAAATCATAAAAAGTAATTTTATTGTGATGATTGTCATTGTTGTTGTTGTTAGTAACTATTCTTATTTTTATGATTATTTGTTGTTATTGTACTGCCATAACAATCACTGTAGTAGTACTTGTCAGATATGATTAGGATAAGAATAAGTAATAATCAACAAAAATAAGGTGAACACAACTCCACAGTGAACCTAAATAAAAGGTACCTCTGTTTTCCAGGTGAAGGAGTTTGATGTGAAGATCATCAGAAGCCATGATTGGTGAAGAGGGCAGCCCATCTCCAGCCATTGGATGGTTCCTGAGAATCCCCCTCTCCAATACATCAATGCATATCCTGTCTTTATTTGCTTCCTGCCCTTGCTCTGTCTTTGCATGATAGTCTTTCGGCCTAGTTAACCTCCTACATATGCTAACCGCACTTTGACCATCCCATGTTGTCTCCAACACGCAAGCCCCCTTGGTCAAGAGGGATACTATGATTGATGGATCTTTACGCTTCGCAGCAACATGCAGTGCGGTGTACCCCCTGGAATTGCGAAGGTTGACATCGGCCAAACCTAGGCCGAGAACCTCAGAGACAACTTTAGGATCACAATATGATGCAGCATAGTGAAGAGCATATGCTTCGTTTAGAGTCACATCTGAGGACTCGGTCAGGAGAAGTTTTACCAGTTCAACGTCGTCGGAATCCAAAGCCTTGTGTATTCTCTTTATTCTTTTCTCACGCAGCGGGTCTGGCTGCATGGATTTATTCTCATCAGGCTGAGGCTTGGTTCTATACAATTTGATGCGCTCTGCGACCTCATGGGGCACCTCCCTCTCGATAGATATGCTATCGAGATCTGATTGTGCCACTCTATTGATGCATTCATTGAGAAGCTCAGTTGATTTGCAACAGAAAGCAACACCAAGTATAGGGATGACATCATCCACCAAAGCTCTTCCAACAAAATTCAGAAGCCGCATCTGGGATACAACATTAATTGCTTAAATGTAAAATAAAATTAGAAATGACCTGTAATACAATAATGAATGAATTTGTGACTTTTAAAGTGCGTTGTGGTGATCATAGTGATGTTCAATTTTACACCACAATGACCACAATGATATTTTCAGTGACAGTAATGACCATGTAGTTACATTTTAATTCATGAGCTCTATATTATTAAGATATTAAGGAAAACCTCAAAAAATTATTCACATATTTTATAGTATTTGACCAGGTAAAATGAGTAGTCTTCATGCTACTCTAACACAATTGACTAAAGTTATTATGCAACACAAAAATAGCAATCCCGAACTAAATGGCAATGCAATGCGGCTCATTCAGGACTAAGGGGGTTAGCGTTTATCTTGAAACGTAATAATTGAGATTGTATAAAAGTTGAAACAATAACCTAATATGGGATCGTATAACATTTCATTTCAATAAACCTCGGTTCGCTTTTATAGACATTCTAATTATCAATGAATAGACTTACCCTGTAAAGACAAATGCAATTGCAAATATACCTACAAAGCATATCTAAAGAGTAAAGACATACCTGAAAAACAGAAACAAGCTCGGGCACCTGAAATGCTGAAGAAGCAAACATCATTTCCACGGTGAAGTTGATCGCGGGTCTGCAGGAATCATGTGTACATACAGAATCAACACAAGTAGAGGCCTCGGGCGGAGAAGGCTTTAGTTTCCCTGTATACAAATAGCTGAGAAAAGCAGCAAAAGCCTCATACCCTACCTTAGTATTACCATCACCATAAGGCAGCAAATCCTCCACACGATATCTTGGTCTAACACCACTCTCGTTTTCTTTACTGAAAAGCAAATGAAAAAACCTACTCCTAGCTGCTAATATACACCGGTGGACGCCTATGCTAATCCCCTCAACAACAAAATCGGCATCACTGTAATCTAGACTGGAATCAGACAAGAGGCTCTCCAAACAATTGCTGAGCTTATTCAGACTGATCATTTCTAGACGAAAACCTGGGTCATATCTGCAGGAGTTTGGCCCAATCTGCCAGTGGATCCATTTGATGTTTCGGGGGATGAAGTGAAGCTTATGGATGATGATGATGATGGCTCAAAAGAACTACCCATATAATCAGCTAATGGATGGTGATGACACAAAACGAACAGATCCTCCCTCAATCATAAAAACACATATTCCCTAAATCTATACATAATTGATTGCAAAAAATTCCAGATACAAAAGTCACCCATCCATCGAAGGTTTAATAAAATATAAACCGACATGAATCTGTTATGATGATATACTTGCAGATACATACATGCACATAAACACATGGACTGGAAAAGAGGACCCACTGTTTTAGCCAACACTTGAGAGATGGAGGATAAGAAGCCGATCAAGGGAATCTGATCAACACAAACTATTGTTTTTCCTGAATCAAGGAAAGATCCAAAGGGGACAAACCCATCAAGGATTAGACCTGGTAAAACTTTGATACAACCAAAGGAAAAGAAAATTGGTTGAAGTGGTCCACTTCCGACTTACATCATCAGTTACATCCTATATTAGATGTAAGTAGCCATGGACCGGGACCGGACCGGGCCAGGCTGGGCTCCGGGCTTGAGCGGGCTCCGAGTCCAAATTATTCAGGTCCGGTACCAGCCCGGGTCAGGCTCCAATTTATTTTTTGGGTCATCTCGAATTTATTCCAAACCCCCTACCTCCAAACCCCTCAAACCGCTCAGGCCCACCGCATCTAGCAGCCAGCCGGCCCAACCCAACGCCAAAAAGGGAAAAAAATTATTTGGGCACGGCTCGACCGGTTCATCATTTGTTAGCCCGTAGCCCGCCTAAATAAGCCACTGGTTCGGGCCCCAGTCTCTGTCCCGGCCGGTCAGGTCGGGTCGGGCCTGCACAGTAATGGGCCAGCCCGGGCCGAACCGGCCCAGTTCATCCCCGAATATAAGTACAGGTGTATCTAGAATAAAAAATTCATTTAATATTATACGTAGTACTCCCTCGATTCCAAAATGAGAGAGTATCATACTTTTGGGCTCACATATTAAGAAAGAGGGTTAAAAAACCCGTTTTGACCTTATGAGTATCACTGCTTACCCGTCTACTCCCAGCCCCCCACCCTTTGTTATTGCGCGCTATACTACTTATGTGTATTGTAGCTCCGTTTTTTCCCTTACATTTGAGTCACACAATGTATAGAACTCCAGTCACACACCATTAAGTTTCAATTTGGAGGGAAAACTAATGTCAACTTCACAATTCCCTCCTAAACATTCATTTTTACAATAGGGACGAGTCCAAATACATGGGGGAAAGAACAGTAGACAAATTCAAATTACACGAGGCTTTACAACTATAAATACAACATTTATTGAACCCTATCTAACACTTCATGTTTTATTAATGGCTTCAACGCCAAAATCATCTGCAAAAAGAACAAAAAGATTATCAAATACAGAAAGAGAAAACATAAAGGAGTATTTCCTGAAAAATATTGATGGGTTTGGCGAACTTCAGCGTTGTGTTATAAATAATGCTACACAAGAATTTCAAGTTTCAAGAAGAGCAATTTCCAGAATTTGGAATCTTGTAAGAAGCCAGGTAAACAGCGGGGAGGGCATATATGTCAGTCACAATTTGACTAGCAACGTAGGCAAAAAAAGAATATGTGTTCCTCTGAACACTTTCAAGGACATTCCTTTAAGTAAAAGGACAAATATCATGTCACCTGCTCATGCTCTAGCTATTTCAAGTAGCAAATTTTACAAAGCAAATGGGTCAAGTGAAAGCATACACAAGCACCATAAAACCTTTTTTAACTGATGATAACAAGAGGACAAGGCGTGTGGTTTGCTTACAACACCTTATCCCTTCCCCAGTTCAGGGAAATCCAAGTTTTCAAAACTTTGGTGCTTATATTCACATAGATGAAAATTGGTTTAACATTACTAAAGTGATGACAAGATGATATTTGCATGAAGGTGAGGAACCACCAGACAGGCATGCAAAATCAAAGAGGTTTATCACAAAAGTTATGTTCTTGTGTGTAGTGGGAAAGCCAATTATTGGCAACGATGGGGAAGCTATTTTTGATGGAAAAATTGGCATTCTGCCATTTGTTAAACAAGCCGCAACCACCAGAAACATCAAAAACAAGCCAAAAAATACCATGGAAACCAAATCCATTTTATCAGTCACAAAAACAGTGTACAAGAACATGCTACTAACCAAGTTGATCACAACTATAAAAAGTAAGTGACCGGCCATCACAGTTGGGTAGTAAAGTGGTCATTCAACAAGACAATGTTAGGCCACATATAAGCACACAAGATGAAGCATTTATTCAGGGAGCAACACATGAGGGGTGGGACATAACAATGGTTATGCAACCACCTAATAGTCCAGATCTAAATGTATTGGACTTGGGATTTTTCAACTCCATTCAGTCATTGCGATACCAAAGTTGTAGCAAAACAGTTGATGAATTGATTGGTAATGTACAAGATGCATTTAACAACTTGTGAGCCACCACACTGAGCTATGTTTAGTTAACACTACGACTTACAATGAGTGAAATGCTTAAGGTCAAGGGTGACAACAACTACAAGCTTAAGCACATTGGAAAACATAGACTTGCAAGGCAAAGTAACCTGCCTACAAGCATTGAAGTGGAAACAAGCATTGTCCATGATGCAATAACACACGTCAATGGGACAGTAAATAACCATTAAGCAGGTCAAGCAAGCCATTTTTAATTTCCAATCAACCTCTCAGTTCACTCCTTTATCATCATAGAGCTGTGCTTATACAACTCTCTGATAAGTGAGTTATCTTCATAGGGTTACTATTTGGATTTTGATTTATGGTAGGCATTATATATGTAGGCATCAATATATTTTTGTGTTTTTGCACCCTGCACCATATATATGTAGCCAAAAGTATATAACAATGTGATAGAGGTTATATGTTAACCATAGGATGCACAACATGTGTATTTATTTGTTGAGGTTTATTCCTTCAACCCGTAGGTCCAACACGTGTCCTAAGGGTTTCAAATGGAAGAATAAGATGATTATATGAATAAACAAGCAAGAAAGGCTCAATAAGGAATTCTAATACAATATCAAAGGCGTGAGGCCGTTCGTCCCGTACAGTGCTACGAGTTGCTTACAAATGCTATACTATTTAGAGTGCTAAGATGCCAACCCTTTACAATGAAATAAATGCTTCTATTTATACCGTCAATGGGTAGTTGGATGAACTGACGTGGCGAGCTGTGGATGGCTGGGGTCTCAACCACCAAATCTCCGCGTTAGATATGCTCCGCCGCCAGGATCTTCTACATTAAATGCGCTTCCCGCCAGGATCTTGGCTTCCCGCCAAAGGGTGGAGACGTTCGTCCCCATGAGCTTGCCTCCTGTTTTCAGCTGGGTTCAGAGTTCTGCACGACGGGCGTCTTATGCTGCTTCAGGACCAAGGTACCTGCCTATGCTAGAATACGTACGTCCCTTGGGCCAAGATACGTGCCGACCATCGTACGTACGTCCCCTGGGCCAAGGTACCTGTCTATGCTAGGATTCGTACGTCCCCTGGGACATGGTACCTGCCGATGCTAGGATACGTATGTCCCCTGGGCCTTGTTGTTGCTTTTGGGCCAAGGTATCTAGCCCTGTTGGGGACAAGCCTCTCCAAACTAGCGGAAAGGTACTTCGTTGTCTTGGGCCTTCCGGGGACGTTCATAGGGTGCGCCTAAGGGTTTATGGGCCATCCCCATTGGGCCATTAACCCAACACAAGTCCCCCACTTCTGATGTTCCGAGCGTGCGCGGGACGTAAGGAAGTAGAATTGAATCCGACGTACGTCTCCAGCTAATGCCCTTGTCGCCTCCAAAGCTGATGAGCCACTGTGTCTCCTAGAAAAAATTCCACTTTTGGTCCCATGACTATCATACCACTTCCACATTTAGTCCATTACTTTCAGATTGTCCACATTTAGTCCGTGACCATTATCCCCTCACCACCCCTCGTCCTTTTGGCCAAAATTCCGGCAAATTTAGTCCACTTCTCAGCCTCAGAATCAGTATTTGCACTAAATTTTGTATCAGGTTGGGGTTTTCATATCAATCTTTTCATTAAATTTGGTTTTTTATGCCTAAAACTTGCATTAAATTTGTCATAATTTTGGCTGGAAGGACGAGGGGTGGTGAGGGGATAATGGTCACGGACTAAATGTGGACAATCTGAAAGTAAGGGACCAAATGTGGAAGTGGTATAATAGTCATGGGACCAAAAGTGGAATTTTTTCGTGTCTCCTAACGTACGTCCCCTTCAGCTGCCTGCCTTTCCGAGTGTGGTACCTCGGGTCCGGACTTCCCGTGTGGGGACGACACTCTTCTCTTCCTTGGGATGTTTCCAGGGGGTCTCACCAGGAGGCCTGTGCTTAGGGGACGGCCGTTCGGTGGGCTTTGAAGTAGAACTACCTCCGTCGTACAGCTTTTAGCCGACGCCCTTGATGCGATGGTTGTCAGCTGTATTCGTGATCTCCGAACCCCGACCGTCTATGTGAACGGGCCTTGGCAGCCAGCCGTTGGGGACGTACGTCCCCTTGTCTAGAGGAAGGGGATTCTCTGATGTTCATCTCTGGGGACCCCTGTAGCACCGTCCCCAAGTATATTTACTTTTAGTAAATCATGTAATGAACCTTGAATAATGATTTATGAATTTACAAGGTTGTAAAATTTTTGTTATTACTTTTGCGTGAATAGTGAATTGCACGCGGGGCCCACATCGGGAGCGGGGACCACCCGATAATCCCGGGACCACATATTATATTCATCTTGGTCTAGATAATATTTATATGGTGGTGGATATTTTAGTTGGGCCATAGGAAGGGCATAGGGTTGACCCGTTGGTCAAACGAGACCCAATTACCGGTATTGGTAATTTATTAGATAACAGCCCAAAACAGATTTCGGAGACTTATAAATTAAAGATGAGGAATGTATATTCATTCTAAGAGTCCATAATGATGGGAAACACATAATATATTTTATTTGACCCGATAAAATGAAATATAATTAAAACAGTCAAAAAATACAACTTTCGGGGCCGATTGTACATTTCGGGACACAAAGGGATGACCTCCCACGTGAGTGGGGGCCACCCCACGTTTTTGGGTGTTTAGATTGTCAAGGGATGGCTGTGAATAATGAGAAGGGGTCTGAGGGTGATGTATTGGGTGAGAAGGGACCAAAGGTGGACCTCCACCTCACTCATTTGTCTAAATGAGACAAAACCCACCTCTCTCCCCTCACCATCTCCATTCATCCGCCCAAGCACACCTAGATAGCAAGAGGAAGCTCTGCAACTCACCATTTTCACACCCAAATTCGAGCTCAAGCTATAGTGGTCCAAAGAGGAGGATTTAAGAAGGAAAAAGTTAGGAAAAGTGTGAAGCATTAAGGTAATAACCTCATAATAACTTTTCCTCTACTTTTCATTTATCATATGGCTTATATAGCATA